GCGATGAAGCAGAAGAAAATGCTTTGCGGAAGCTGGTCGAGGTCGCCGACTCAGCGCCACTGTTCGGACAGTACGCTCGTGGACTACCTCCGTTTAAATCACAAACCCCCCTTGGGAGTAGAGATGACGTGGCAGATATGAAAGGCGACCCGTCACAGGCTTTGGCTATGGCGGCTGAGGCAGGGTTGGGTCTCGTTTTTGCCAATTCCTGGTTCACCCGGCTCTGGATAGTCCAGGAGGCCATTCTCTCATCGGATTTGCTGCTGTGTCTGGGAAAAGAGGAGGTTGAATGGAGTGTCTTTGAAGCTGCCACGACCTTGGTATACCGCGCATTCTGTCGGACAGGCCTCCGTTTCCCCGGAATCGAAGTCGTCGAAGACGCAGTTGGCCTGATTCTAGAACGCCAACGACAAGGCATGTTCCGCCGTCCTCCGGGCCTCGACACCAACTCATCGGCAGGAACCCGGTCCCTCCTCGGCAACAACGCCGGCAGCACCTCTGGCATCCACACCCAGCTCATCAAACAACTCGACCAGCTCAGCCAGGGCCAGCAAGTCGTCATCATGAGCGACCGCTCCCAGCGCTTCCTCGACACCATCTGGGGCCTCCGCCACCGCGCCTGCGCCGACGACCGCGACCGCATCTACGCCGCGCGCTCCTTCATCCCCTGGGACGTGCCCGTGCACGTGCACGTCAACTACGCGCGCTCCGTCGTCGACGTCTACACCGCCTTCACGCGCGAGCTGCTCAACGCCGGCATCGCCGAGGTGCTCCTCCTCGCCGGCCTCTGGGACCGCAAGACCCTCCCCTCCTCGGGCGGGAACGACGACGCCGACGAGGCCCCCTCGTGGGTCTGCGACCTCCGCCTCCCCAAGCTCCGCCGGGGGACAGACCGCCCGTGGAGCCACCCGCTGGACCAGACCAGCGACACATCGGTGGCCGACTTTGAAACCCCCGAGATCAGCTGGCCCGACCCGGCGCCCACCTCGCGCACCGTCATGCTCGGCGCCATCGTCGTCGATCAGATCGGCACCGTGAGCGGGCCCCCGCCGGGCATCGGGTCCGGCTACACGACGCAGGTCGTCTCGTTCTGCCTGTGCGCGCGGCTGTCCATCTTCCGGCGGGCCAGGTTCCCTGGCGAGGACTCGGACGCGCCGCCGAGCTGGGAGCAGATTGCGGGGCTTGCCGAGGTGCTGGGGGTCGACGGCGAGCGCTGTCCGGGCGCGGTGAGTATGGTGGCCAAGCTGGTTGTTCAGGGGCGTCAGCAGATGGACGCCATGCTGGCGCCGGCCGGCTTGTCGACCGGGGTGGCGTGGGAGCTGGGGCCTGAGTTTGTCGGGGAGATTTCGCAGGAGGATCATCGGGAGGTGTCCCTGCTGGTGGGCCGGATGTCGGCGGGCGCGGCGTTTTTCAGTACGACGAGCGGGAATGTTGGGTTTGGGCCGGCCATGTTGGAGAGTAGGGATACCATCGTGCGGGTCATGGGGTTGCTGACGCCGTGCATTGTGAGGAGTTTTCCGGGGACCGAAGATTGCCGGCTCATCGGGGGCTGCTATTTGCATGATCCGCCAGATCTAGCGGCGGGAGATTATGGCTGGCTGTCGCTGGTATGATGGGTCTCGGAGCTGCTGTGGTTTATTTCTGCTCTTGTTTCCTCTTTGGATACATGGCTACGGTCCTATGCACAGATAGCCAAGTCCCTTTTTTCCGAAAGTAAGTGATTTTTCCATCATGGCCCATCAGTCCAAGTCACTTAAGCCCCCGATTCGCCCATCATCCCGGCAGCAGTGTTCACCACCTCGCCGTCCTCCCCTGGCCTCTCCTTCTCCTTCTGCTCTGCCGCCATGTTTCTCTTCAGCCTAAGCAACGCACGAACCCGGGAGAGGCCAGCCGGAACCGGCTTTGGGCCTTCTTTGGGGATCTTATACATGGCATCAAACTGTTCCAGTATATCGCTGCTGCTGCCGACAAGACACTCTCGCGCATCCCAGAAGGCCTTCACCGCCTTGGGGAATGCGTCGGCTTCGTCGGACGCGAGGTACTCGAACATCCGTTCGAAATGCGATTCGTGCACGAATCGGGCCAAGGGATCGAGTTTCTCCTTTTTGGTTGTTAGTCAACCATGAGATGGAACGAAGGAAAGAGAACCTACTTCGATATCGAACGTCATGTTAATGACGGGCTCGACTACACGGCCCTTCAAACCGATGTCGGGATAGGCCTTTTGGAACTCGGTGGTGCTCGCCACCAAGTCCAAAATGGACTGCTCTCGCGTCCCGGCCATGGAGGCCATGCCGCCTTCGGGAGCCTCGGGGAAAGTGGGCCGGATATTGGTGAAGGGGAGATTCATGGTTGGTTAGTGGTGGTATCGAAAAAATCACTTCTGGTCTTGTTCTCGAGTGTTGCCTGATCTTCGGCGTGTTGCAATTAAGTCTGGTTTGTGGCAATTAGCGAGGTAGTTATAATCGTGAAGCAGTGTCGATTCACACTCAAGCAGAGCTCTGCTTGGGTGCGAAAGGGGTGAAGAATAACCGTTTGGAGGGGGCATATAAGATGGAAGGCGCGTGGTGTGGTTCTAGCCTACGGTTTATTGGTCAGAACATGTGGGAGAAGGCGAAGTGCTTCCACGGATGTAACACAGGTACCCCAAGAACCCAAGGTTGTCTCTTCCATTCTTGACATACCGCCAAGCCAATTTAGCACACCTCCCAGGGCAGTGTCAAAGGCAAGCAAGCGTCTTTGGCACTGCAGTCCGCACCTGCCTGACTACTGGGCCTTATCACAGTGCCGACACCGCTCTGAACTTCTGCCAACCAAGAAGGAGCCACTCTCCTTGCATTGCGTCAGCGGGCACAAGACATGGCCCCAGCGAGCTGAAGAGCCACGACGGCAAAAAGATGCTCATCGCACTTGAATACTTGCCAAGCCCCGAAATGGACTGGAGATGTCGGACTCCTAACACACAAACATGATTTCTGCAACCCACCGTGGAGCCTTCTTAGGGAAAAGGAAATCCTTGCACTCCCATCAAACAGTTCACAACTGCTAGTCGGGTATGGTGAGGTAACATTTCTGACTCTCAACATCTCTTTGAGATTGAGCACTTAGGGGCCCGGGGTTTGATTCCCCGTATCTGAGTTGATATTTAAGATTATTCAAGATTCTATCTTGTGCAGTGTGGCGGCTTTACTTTTTGCTATCATGTAAGTCAACCACGACTGCCAACATGGGGCACTCTGAATACTACCTGGCAACACGGAGATGTCGTTTGTACCTTTTTGCTGTAAAAGCAAATTGGAGTTGGCCTGTGTACTAATTCCCACATATGCTACGGCATCATTTCCTCCGGGCTCTCACGTTAAAGTCACATCGCAAAGCCAAGATCAGGCTAATGGTCTACTCGAGCTTCTGTTTGCCACAACGTCGGTTTCCAACACAGTGGTATTTTATCCGGAGCTGTTTTATCATGCACTCGGCCGACATTCTGTCCTGATTCCCTTGGCCATTTACTTTGAAGATATCGTCAACCTCTGTTCCCAACATTCGCGGGGAGCAACCATCACGACCTCGACCCCCTGAAATGACCCAGCCCCTCTGACCAAACCTAACCATGGCCGGTCGGCTCTCCCTCCTAACCATCTCCCTCGCCGTGGCCGTGGGCGCCTACTTCCGCCCGGCCATCCTCGACCAAATCACGGCCGCGCTGCATCAACACGGCGTGCAACTCCCCTTTCCCATCTCGCAACCAGGACCACCACCACAACCACCATCACCACCACCAACTGACACCCCAACGTCCTGCCCGCCGCACGCCTACACCACCCAACTCATCTCCCTAGACCCCCTCCTCATCTACATCACCAACTTCACCACCCCCGCCGAGCGCACCTCGCTCATCGCCACCGGCCTTCCCCTCCTCGAACCCTCCCCGATAATCGGTGCCCCCCACCTCGCCCAGGCCCGCACCTCGTGGAGCGCGCCCCTGCCCGACGACGACGCCACGGTGACCTGCATCCTGTCCCGCGCCGCCGCCTTCCTGGGACCCTCCCTGCTCACCCTCGGCCGCGACGAGATGGGCTCGGCGCAGATGGTGCGGTACACGGCGGGGCAGAAGTTCGACGTGCACACGGACTGGTTCGCGCGGCCGCGGTTGCTGGACGAGGACGGGGCGGCGGGGAGGCGGAGGCTGTACAACCGGGTGGCCACCATCTTCGCGGTGCTCGAGGCTGACGGGGTCGAGGGCGGCGAGACGTGGTTCCCGCACGTGCAGGCGGGAGAGGGGGAGGGGTGGAGGGCGTTGGAGGGGGGCACGGCGTTCCGGGCGGTGCCGGGGAATGCGCTGTTTTGGGTCAATCTGTTGGCGAGTGGGACGGGCGATGCGCGGACGGCGCATGCGGGACTGCCGGTTGAGGGGGGGTTTAAGACGGCGTTGAATATTTGGCCGAGGGTGTTTTTTGGGCCGGATGCGTAGCTTCTCAGGGGGCACTTACACAAGTCTTCCAAGCTTGGCGCTCTATTTGGTGTCTGGCTCACGGTTCAAAATGATATGCGACACCAGTCTTTACGCTTTCAGTTCACATCTTGTTCACAGCCAGGTCCGTACAGTCCAACCCCCTTTTTATTTTATTTTTTATTTTTTAATGTACGGCTTGAAAGCTGCGAAAATGAGAAAAATAGGCCTTTTTGTCCTATGATAATGAATGTCTTTAGGGATGCTAGGGATGCCTTTTAGGTTGGCAAAGGTCTTTTAATGTACCATGCTAGAATGGCCTTTTCGGGACTTGGGTATCTCTCTTCAAATGTAACGCGCGAACAAACAAAGCAGGGTTGGAGTTTACACTCCAGCTCTTGAACCGCCCAACTCCACTCTCTCAGGTTCCCGCTATTTTGCTCCGTCCATCATCCTTGGAATCTTCCCACTTCTGGTTCTTATTTCCTGTGGATGACCTAGGCAGTGCTCCCGAGACCAATCTGCATTCAAAGCCCCAATCGGGACTCAGGACGTGGTGGCAGAGTGGTCTAATGCGCAAGACTAGGAATCTCCTAGAACATCTTGTTTCTTCGGGAGCGTCGGTTTGAATACGGCCTACGTTGATACGATTCTCTTTTTGTTTATTGGGGGAAGGTTTCTTTTGACTATTGTTGTAAGACTTGACTCGTCTTGTGTGAATGAATTGGGATTATCCCCCGCGTTGTTTTACCAGATAATGACTTTAGAGATGCACTAGCAATGATTTACTGTTCCTTTGTTCGTTTGGCCTCGCTTTTGATCCTCGGAGGAGTGTATTATAGGCTTGCTATTCTTCCAAGGGGTTTGTTTCGGGACATAGAGGAGCGAGTAGGAGTAGAGGTTATGAAAGATGATGTTGTCGAGCATGGGCATAATAGACACAAACTTTGCAATACACTCTCATCCAATTACCAGGGCGCGTGGTTTAGGGGTATAACGTTCGCTTCGCAATTTCAATCCTCTGAATGTCACATGTGAAAGGTCCGGGGTTCAATTCCCCGCGTGTCCAAATCTTTTTGCCATTGGGACCGAAGCAGTCTTTTTGCCTGTGGAACTTACTGAGTCAAAAGATTTTCTCTTGGTAGTAATAGTTACATTGTGTTCTTTTTGAGCAATTAATAGGAATGTACTGGAGGAGCTGAGCGCTGTGGCGAGAGAGAGCCATCACGTCAATGGGGAGGGATTTTGAAGCTCGGGCCACATTCTGACCTCAGCAGTTGTGAATTGGAAACCCTTACAAATGTTGACGGTCGTCCTGCATCTTGAAGATTGGTACATCTAAAAAATACCACAAAATCTTTGGTCAGGAATCAGGCCCTATACCCTTCATCCGCTTGACTTTGAAAGGGACCCCAGCGCCATCTGGTGGCCACAAGCAAGACCAGCGCCCTCTCCATTCACACCGCATAAGCACCACCGACACCACACAACACACTCAAAACACCGCTTCCCCCATACCCAAAAATGGCCCGCACCGACGAAGCCGAAGCCTTCTTCCACGCCGTCTACGCCGCCGTCCAAGAGATCCCCCCGGGCAAAGTCACAAGCTACGGCCACATCGCCAAGCTCATCGGGACCCCCCAGCGTCCCCGCCAGGTCGGCCTCTGCCTCAAGCACCTACCAACCGACACCTCTTCCCGCTTCCACCACGCCAACGTGCCCTGGCAGCGCGTCATCAACGCCAAGGGGGTCATCTCGCCGCGGTATGTCCCCCATTGTTATCTCCAAACAAAACTAATGGACAGCATAGATCGCAGCCCTCTGGCTCGCTTAACCAAGCCGCTGCGCTGGAGGCTGAGGGCGTGACGGTCACGACCGGGGCGCTGGGGGAGCTGAGTGTGGACTTTGCTGAGTTTGGTTGGTTCCCGCGCATCTTACCGTCCGAGGCTGCCATGGGAATGGTTCCTGAGAGTGACGACGATGGGGATGGATCGGAGGAAGGGTAGGACTTGTAAACATGACCGGAAGACTTGAGAAAATACAGCGTTGTCGGTGGCCGTGCCATCCGGGCCCCCGGATGCCGGGCGTAGGCTCCGGCTTGGTCTCTGAAGCCGGTTCCTCCGGGGTTGTTCCTCTCCGGAACCCTTCACACGCCTTTGGAGGGCTGGCGTCCCTGGCCGACGTCTTTCTTGGCGATCGGCCATCTCGACGGGCCAACCAGCGCGTCAATTGATCTATGGGGCCGCAGTCTGGGCTAAGCCAGATAGTAAGAGCTCGTCGAGCGATGATTCCAGCTCCTTGATCGCGGTACCGCAAGACCTACCAGATCGTCCCTCAAAATGGTAGAGTGTAGATGATGTGCTAGGTTCAGTGCCACAGTTGACTGCGACACGTTCTTCAGTTGGACCAATGCGCCTTAGCTTGTGGGCCAGGACCCGAGAGTATTGTGTAGCAGACAACGGAATCGGTGACATGCCATCAGCTCCAGCGCCACAGGGTCATGCCCTCACTCGGGAGGATGGATATGGATTTTGCACTGGGACTTGTAGTCAGAGGCAGTAATACCCAGCGCACTCAAGCAGTAATTCACCATGTCAAAACACTGGCGGAAGAGATCTAGTTCGATTTGTCTATTCGCAAATGCATAATGCACCGCCATGCCTGTGTCACACCCATCCCTATACATCCCGAAGCTGTAGCCTTCTCATAACAAAATGGTTGCCGACCATGTTCCGCTGTACACTCGTCTCGGGCCGGCGTCACTCGGTGGATAAGTTCAATTTCTTGAGCGATGCCTAGTAACTTCACAGGCAGTTAGTAACCTGGTCTCCAAATAAATGTGAAATAAGGAGTTGAATGTGTTTGGCATCTCAGATAGCGGTTGGACATGGTTGTCAACATTAATTGTTTCAGATCAGGTCTGTGAATTTGTCTTTCTCATCATAATAGCCAGGGTTGTGTGGGGATTGCGAAGCAAGAGAAAAAGAACATACCTGTTGTGACGAAGTTGGCCACAGCCAGGACCAGTGTCCCGGCTTGCCAATGGTCGGGATACCGACAGACCTCATTCAAGCCTCGGCTTTTTCGAGCTCGGGGTCAGGAACGAGTCCAACGTCCTCTGTCGGTTATCAAACTGAGCACTGCCGATGCCTCCTCGAGTCTTTTTCAAGCCCTCGAGGTGGTCCACGACATTGACCCGGATGACCAGCAGACTGACTCTCGACCGAACACTGTCAGGCAAGGAGACCACGACAGCATCACCTCCGGATGAACCACCAAGCAACCCCCCAGAAGGAATCCCCACCGCAGCCACACCCCTCTTGACAACCATCTCGAGATACCCCGTGTTGCTCCATACGGTCAAATACTCGCCCCTCTCCACCCCAGGCGGACCGGCCAACCTATCGAGCTCCCCCGGCGCATATCTCGCCAACATCACCCGCAGCAGCGAATTCAGCATCAGGCCGTGCGATACGACGACGATCGACCCCTCTCCGCCCCCCGCCAATAGCTCCGCGAGATGCCACCGGACAAACCGCTCGGCGCGGATCCTCATGGCCTCATGCGTCTCCGAGTCGGCGCGCGACGCCCCGAAGCGCTTCCCCTCCGCCGAGCCAAAGTTGCGCTCGCGCAGGTCCGGCACCTTGACAAGGTGCAGCCTATGTCCGCGGTCGCGGTCGGGGATGGCATTGCTGCTAGAGCTCCCCGGGTCCGCCACGGACGGGCTTGCATCACGCGGTGCGGTGGGGGAGCGGGTGATGGCATCGATGACGGCCTGGGCAGTGTGGGCGGCACGCTGCAGGTCCGACGAGAAGATGTGGGTGATGGGTCCGGTGGTGGGGGAGCGCGAGCGCGATGCGAGATGGGCGGCCAGGCGCTGGGCCTGGAGTGCGCCGTGGGCTGTTAGCGCCGAGTCGCGGACGCCTGCGCTGTGGCGGTTAGGGCAGGAAGGATGAGGCGAGAGTCTGACCGGCGACTTACTAGAGGCCGGCGACGTTGTCGACTGTCTCGCCGTGGCGAACGAGAAACAGACGCATTTTTGGGAAAACTGTATGTGGGCATCGAGTGCCGCACATTTCAATTTATCAGGGGGCTGGGTGCATTGTAGCCGTTTCGTGCACAAGCTACCTCGATTGCTGCTGCTCCTCTTGGAGTGTAGAGTATAGAATGAGGAAGTTGTGAAAGGAAGAAAAAAGGCAAAGGATGGTCGAGATTTTTTTTTTAAAGGCACCAGCAGAATGTGGGGCAACCAACTTTTTCTTCTTTTTTTTTCTGCCAATCAAAGCTGGTAAGACCATGCCGCTTCTGGTCTTCCATGCAAGGATCGGTTAGCGGCCCCTCCCGCTGTAACCTTGAATCAAATGAAAGCGGTGGTGGCGTCCTCGATCGAGAGCAACCTATTCATGCGATGATTTTTATCTTCTCTAGATGTTTAGGTATCTTTATCTGCTTTCCTATATTGCTCTTGGCTGTGAATTGTTAAACACCATCAAACCACCCACCAGAACGACATCACACGACATATAGACACCTCTAGCCGATAACCAACTAACTCCCTTTCCTAGCACATGACCCTCAATCCTTGATGTTATTCGGATGAAATCGGCAATTCAGGTTGTGCACACTATTGTCCTTGAGCAAAATCTTGCGATGGTCTGCCAGACATTCCCAGCAAAACTCGTGTTTGCACTTGGTACCTAGAACTCGGCAAAAACAGATTCTTCATCAGCAAACCTCTCTCTTCAAACACAAGCGACGTATCTAAAAATGAGCGACGGCCATCGCACAAATTTGGCGCGAATATTCAACAACAGCCACCCCCGCTTTCCCGCACAGCTCTTTTTTCGGCGGCTACCTTAGCCCCAACCAGCGCAGCGGATGTTGTGGGTGCGATTCCAGGTCGCGTTGCACCCCCAACACCACTCGTACCTGCACTTCGTACCTGGAGCAAAAAATTACAACTTAATACTCTGATGCTTCCTCTCGCCGACTCTCCATCCGGGGTATCTGGTACATCTCTTTGCTTGGAGGGACCCACTCGGGATGACCTCAGGTGTTGCCAAAACAGGGGTTCACGCAAAACAGAAATAGGGGCCGACTTACACGTCATATGCGCACTGCACCACCAGTCAGTCAGTCAGCACTCTCACCTCAACAAACACACGCAGTAAGACTCACCATCCGCTGTTCTTCTCAATCGGTGCTCGACACCCAGGGCAGGGTTTCGTGACCTGCGCAACCGTCTTAACGCTAGCTTCGTCCTCAATCTTTCGCCTGGCCGCCGCCTCCCGCTGCTTCCTTGCCTTCCTCTCCCTCTCCTGTTTCTCCCTCCTCTGCTGCGCTTCCTTCGCCTTCCGCTCCTGTTCTTCCCTTTCCATCCTCTCCCTGTCAATATCCATCTGCTCCTCAGCCAGCAGACTCTGCGCAAACACCCGGTCCGCGTCTTCTTGCGCTTGGCGTGCCGCAGCCTCTGCCTCGGCCGCTTCGTTCTCAAGCTCGAAGCGGCTTCTGAAGTTGACGGGGTCGGCTTGAAGAGAATCAAACTCGCCGCACGTGAGGTTTTCGTGCCACGCGGCCTTGTGGTGGAAGCACGAACGGTGGTTGCAAAGCATGCAGATGACGATGGGCTGGTCCAATCCCCCATCGTGGACCTGGCCATACCCACAGCCCGACGTGCACCAAAGGAAGTTGTCAGCCTCGGAAATGGCGTAGCGGAAGGTGAGTACTTGGTACCTAGATTAGAAGAGTCAGTTCACCACTGGAAAGAGGAGCGTGGGCTCCACATACCGCTCTTTGGTCTCCTCGTCGGCAAACTGCTGCACGTCCTCGTATGCGAGGAATTCCCCGCACTCTGGACACTTGATCTCGTTCCATAACCTGCTGTTGAGGTCGGTTTGGATCGACATGGCCACACAGTCGAGACAGGTATTGGGAGCGTGGTTGCAGGACTTGGTAACGGCCGCCCGTGGGAACTGGCTCGCGTCTTTCGAGTCGGTACATACCACGCATTCAAGCTCAACACCACTTGTGAACTCTAGCAGCGCCCTTTTGTTGGTGATAATAACTGCA